AACCTACAACCAAGAGTACCCAGCAATATTATTCAAAATAGAAGGAGCTATAGAGTTCCCCAGACAAACACAAGTTAAAGGAGCTCATCACCACAAAAACCAGCCTTACGAGAAATATTAAAAGGGACTTCTTTAAGCAGTTAAAGGCCATAACTAGAAGAAATTTATGAAAAGAAAAAAATCTCACTAGTAAAAGCAAACATATAGTAAAGACAGTAGACGAACCACTTATAAAGCTAGTATGAAAGCTAAAAGACAAAAGTAATAGTCAAGTGTATCTACAATAATTAGTTAAGAGACACTAAAATAAAGAGTAAAATATGATGTCAAAAACATGGTGGTGGGAGAGTGTTTTAGAATGTGTTCAAACTTAAGTGACCATTAACTTAATATAGACTGCCATAATTTTGAGCATTATATATGAACCTCATGGTAACCACAAACCCAAAATCTATAACAGCTACACAAAAAATAAAGACAGCCAAGCATACCACTAAAAGTCATCAAATCACAGAAAAGAAAACAAGAGAAGAAAAAAAACAACCACAAAAACAATGAACAAAATGAACAAAATGGCAATAAGTACACACCTGTTATAATTACTTTAAATGTAAATGGAGGGGCGCCTGGGTGGCGCAGTCGGTTAAGCGTCCGACTTCAGCCAGGTCACGATCTCGCGGTCCGTGAGTTCGAGCCCCGCGTCGGGCTCTGGGCTGATGGCTCAGAGCCTGGAGCCTGTTTCCGATTCTGTGTCTCCCTCTCTCTCTGCCCCTCCCCCGTTCATGCTCTGTCTCTCTCTGTCCCAAAAATAAATAAACATTGAAAAAAAATAAAAAAAAATAAAAAAAAATAAAAATAAATGTAAATGGACTAATGTCCAATCAAAAGACACAGCATGATTAAATGGATAAAAAAGAAGACCCATCTACATGCTGCCTACGAGACTCATTTCAGACCTAAAAACACATACAGGCTGAAAATAAAGGGATGGAAAGAAGATATTTCATGCAAATGAAGTGAAAAGAAAGCTGAAGTAGCAATACATATATCAGACAAAATAGACTTTATAACAAAGACCATGAGACAAATAAGGGCATTACATAATGATGAAGAAATCAATACAGGAGGATTTAACAGTTGTAAACGTATATATTTTTTCACCTAATATATTACATATATAAATATATGCACCTAATATAGACACACCTAAATATTTAAAGCAAATTATTAACAAATGTAAAAGGAGAAACTGACAGTAATACATAATAGCAGAGACTTTAATAACCCATTTATGTCACTGAATAGATCATCGAGACAGAAAATCAATAAGGAAAAAGTGGTCTTAAACGACACTTTAGACCAGAAGGATTTATATACACAGAACATTCCATCCAAAACCAGCAAACTACACATTCTTTTTAAGTGCACATGGAACATTCTTGAGGATAAATCACAGGTTAAACAACAAAATAAGTCTCAACAAATTTAAGACTGAAATCATATTAAGTATCTCTTCCAACCACAATGGTATAAAACTAGAAATCAATTACAAGAAAAAAAAACTGGAACAAACACAAACACGTGGAGGCTAAACAACATGCTATTAAATAAACAATGGGTCAACAAAGAAATAAAAGAGGAAATAAAACATTACATTGAGACAAATAAAAATGGAAACATAACATTCCAAAATCTATAGGATTCAGCAAAAGTAGTTCCAAGAGGAAAGTTTATAGCAATACAGGCCTACCTAAAAAAAAAAAAAAAATCTAAAACCTAATCTTAAACCTAAAACAACTAGAAAAAGAAAAATCCCACAGCTAATAGAAGAAAAAAATAATGAAGACCAGAGCAGAAATAAATTAAATTAAAAAAAAAAGATCAATGAAACTAAGAACTGATTCTTCAAAAATATAAGCAAAATAAACCTTTAGCCAAATTCATCAAGAAAAAAAGAGAGGGCCCAAATAAATAAAATCAGATGAAAGAGAGGTTACAACTAACACCATAGAAGTACAAAGGATTATAAGAAACTACTTGGAAAATTACATGCCAACAAATTAGACAACATAGAACCCACAAAAAATGAAATATACAATCTTACAAGAGTGAATCAGGAAGAAGCAAAATCTTAACAGACCAATTACTAGTAATGATATCAAATCAATTATCAACAAAGCTTCCAACAAACACAAGTCCAGGATCAGTGGCTTCCCAGGTGAATTCTACCAAACATTTAGAGTTAGTATCTACTCTTCTCAAACTACTCCAAAAAATTTAAGAGAAAGGAACACTTCAAAATTCATTCTACAAGGCCAGCATTACCTTGATACCAAAACTAGACAAAGACACTAAAAAGAAAAGGAAAAAAAGAAAATTATAGGCCAATAACCCTGATAAACATAGATAGATGCAAAATTCCTCAATAAAATATTAGCAAATGGCATTCAATGATGCATTAAAAGGATCATAAATCATGATCAAGTGGGATTTATTCCAGGGATGCAAGGATGGTTCAATATCCACAAATCAATCCATATGATATACCATATTAACAAAGGAAAAAAATCATATGATAATCTCAACACTTGTAGATAAAGCATCTGACAAATCCAATAAGCCATTTATGGTAAAAACTCCCAATGAAGTATGTTTAGAGGGAAGATACCTCAAAATAATACAGGATATATATGACAAACCCATAGCTAACATCATATTCAATGGTGAAAAACAGAGCTTCTCCTCTAAGATCAGGAACAAGACATGGATTTCACCCTTGCCACTTTTATTGATCATAGTTCTTGAAGTCCTAGTCATAGCAATCAGATAAGAAAAAGAGATACAAGGCATCCAAACTGGGAAGTAAGAAGAAAACCATCACTGTTTCCAAATGATGTAATACTATATATAGAAAATCCTAATGATTCCACCAAAAAACTATTAGAATAAATTAATTCATTAAATTTGTAGGTTAAAAAATTAATTGACAGACATCTGTTATATTTCCATATGCTAATAATGAAGTAGCAGAAAGAGAAATTAAGAAAACAATCCCATTTACAATTGTATCAAAATAATAAAATATCTAGTAATAAATTTAACCAAGGAGGTGAAAGACCTGTATTCTGAAAACTATAAGACACTGATGAAAGAAACTGATGATGGCACAAGTGGAAAGATATACTGTGCTCATGGATTAGAAGAATTAATATTAAAATGTCCATACTACTCAAAGTAATCTACAGATTCAATGCAGTCTCTATCTACATTGGCATTTTTCACAGAACTAGTACAAATGAATCCTAAAAGTTGTATGGAACAACAAAAGACCCTGGATAGCCAAAGTAATCTTGAAAAAGAACAACAAAGCTGGAGGTATCACGTTCCCAGATTTCAAATTATAGTAAAAAGCCCTAGTATTTAAAACAGTATGGTGCTGGCACAAAAACATGTAGACCAGTGAAAAAGAATAGAGAGTTCAGAAATAAACCCAAACTCCTATGGTCAGTTATCTGTGACAAAGGAGGCAAGAATATACAATGATAGTCTCTTCAACAAATGGTGGCTGGGAAAATTGGACAACTACATGCAAATGAATGAAACTAAACCACTTTCTTATATAAAAATACTCTAAATGTATTAAAGACCTAAATGTAAGACATGAAACCATAAAACTCCTAAAACAAAACACTGGCAATAAACTCTTGGACATCAGTGTTGGCAATTTTTTTTTTGGATCTGTCTCCTCAGAAAACAAAAGGAAAAATAAACTATTGTGACTATGTCAAACTAAAAAGCTTTTATACAGTGATATAATACCAACAAAACAAAAAGCAATGGGGAAGATTATCTGCAAATGATATATCTGATAAGGGGTTAATATCCAAAATATATAAAGAACTCATGCAACTCAAAACCAAAAATCACCCCTAAAAAATTCAGTTAAAAAATGGGTAGAGACCCTGAATACACATTTTTCCAAGGAACACATACAGATGGCCAAAAGACACATGGAAAAATACTCAACATCACTAATCATCAGGGAAATGCAAATCAAAACCACACTGAGGTATTACCTTACACTTGTCAGAGTGGCTAGTGTAAAAAGACAAGAAATAACAAGTATTGGCAAGGATATGAAAGAAAAGGGAAACCTAGTGCATGGGGGTCAAAATGTATATTGGTGTAGCCACTATAGAAAACAGTATGGAAGCTCCTAAAAAAATTAAAAATACAAATACCTCATAATCCAGCAAATATATTTATGTGTATTTATCCAAAGAAAATGAAAATATGAATTCAAAAAGATATGCACCCCATCTTCACTCCAGCATTATTTACAATAGCCAAGATATGGAAGCAACATAAGTGTCCATGAATTAGACAGATAAAGAAGATGTGGTATATAAAATAAATACAATGGAATATTACTCAGCCATAAAAACGAATGGAATCTTACCATTTGTGATAACATCGATGGTTCTAGAGGGAATTATGCTAAGTGAAATTAAGTCAGAGAAAATAAAATTCCATATGATTCTACAGTTATATGTAGCATCTAAAAAACAAAGTAAATAAAACAAACAGATCTATAAAAACAGATATAAATTGGTTGTTGCCAGAGAGGGGAGACAGGCAGGGGGATGGACAAAATAAATGAAAAGAGGCATAAGCTTCCAGTTATTAAATAAATAAGTCAAAAGGATGTAAAGTATAGCATAGGGAATATAGTCAATAATATTGTAATACATTTGTGTGATGACAGTTGATAACTAGACTTATCATGATATCATTTTACAATGTATATAAATGTCGAATCACTTTGTATAATTGACACTTATGTAATATTGTATGTGAACTATCCTTTAATTAAAAAAAAAGAGTAAAAGAAACATACTAGAAAAATTGAGGGGAAAAAACACCTTAAGTTTTCACTCAGCTATAGTGTAAAAAGATATATCTATCCTCTGAGATCATCATGCCTCACCAGAACTTTTTACCTGAAACTCCTCTGCAAAGTAATCACAGCAGATGGAAGCTTCTTTAACCTCTTTCTAGTTTGGAAACCCTTCCAATAAGCTTGAATCAAGCAAGCTGCTTGATGTAGTTTCTGAAATTAAAGGCCAGAATTAATATAGAGACATTTCTAGGAAAATCTTGTTTAGAAGTTTACCTCTCAAAATATCAGGCCTGGGCAAGTATTAATCTCTACCTCTAATAAACTGGGGAGGAGGCAATTTCATAGGACAAGGACAGGTAAGGTCTAAGAATATTAAACCCGACCTGCCAAAAGAGGTACATACACTAGGTTCTCAGGCAGTATCTAGAATGTGTTCAAGATACAGTCTGATTATCTCTGGATTCTCCTTAATTAATCTCACTTCTACTCTTTTTATAAAGATTTCATAGTTCTGATTTTAAATGCTTTCCCCTCTGCTTGACTTCTTATGCCTGACCTCATTTATTCAAGCATTCAAGGGTATGAATAACTCTTTGAACAGGCTAAAAAAGAAAAAAGGCTCTAAGGTTAAAAATCGGGTCCACAGAAACCTCTTACCCTATCAAACTACAGCTGCTCTGAATATTTGAGGAGATAAGTAAAGAATGGGGGAGAGACAGCAAATAAAAAATTCAAGAAGCTACCACTCTCCAGTATTTTGAAACTAAAATGTTTACTGACATGTTAGCAAATACACAAGTTATTTTTTTAGAATTTATTACCTGTTCTTCTACTTCCTGATAGACCTTTGGGGTTAAAAGGGCAATGAGCTGTCCAAGTTCTTGACTAAACTCTGTCCCAGGCTTCTGCTTATTCCGTAGACTTCTGAGTCCTGAAATGGAATAACAAAGGTACATATAAAATAAAATATGATTTGCTATCTAATCAGGATTAATTTGAGGTTAAAAAGTCTGGTTTAGAAAGAAATGAATACAACAGTAAGATTAATTACATGATTTTTTTTTCCTTTTCTCAAAGACTTCTAGATTGAAGTCTTTAGGATATTTCTCTGTCCTAAGAGATTTTATATGATCACTTGTAATATCTGATGCAAAGGCTGTCTCCTCAGTATCTTAAGTGGAATCATTGTGGTAAATCAAAGAGGAGAGATACAGAATTTTTTACCTGTTTCAACATAAATACCTTAAGCTGAAACACTTTTAAAAATAAATAGCATACTGAGTAAATGACTATACTGTGGAAGCATTTAAACAGGTTACTAGTCATTCTTAAATAAAGCTATTTATTAAATAAAAATATACAGTATTGTATGTAATTTGGGGCAAATCAATAGGTTACTGAGCAATTATTATAGAAGTGCTATAAATACTGCATTTTCATTCCAAAATAAAACACAGAAGTAGTATAAGCTATAAAGTAAGTACTATTTGTAAGCATGTTGAAATGATGTATTGTAGTATTCACTGTAAATAAAGTAAAATGCCCTTGGTGTATATAATTGGGGAGGCCACTATACAGATCTGACCATGTCTTTATACTCTCTTCAAAACTCAAGCTCTCAGCGGTATTAATAATTGTAAAATAGCTTTTTTCTAATTTTTTTTTTAATTTTATTTATTCTCCAATTAGTTAACATACAGTGTAGTCTTGGCTTCAGGAGTAGAATCCAGTGATTGATCACTTAACATGCTCACTCAATGCTCATCTCAACTATTGCCCTCCTTAATGCCCTTCACCCATTTTCTCCACTCCCATCTACCCTCAGTTTGTTTTCTGTATTTAAGAGTCTCTTATGGTTTGCCTCCCTCTCTGTTTAATAATTGTAAAATATCTTGAGGAAACTGAGTAAGTTCTACTATTGAGAAAATAAAGGGAGATGAATTGTTAAGGTGAAATTCCTTTATAATGAACTCTATTAGACATTCACATTTCTATAGAATAAATCAAATTACAAAATTTAAAAATGACTATTTGGCACAATATCAACTGGAGAATACTATTACTGGCACTTTCTTTCCATCTTTATTCCTATAACAAAATAATTACAATGTTCACAGTAATGACTGATGGAAGGTAAGCTACTAAATAGTGCTTTCCAAATCATCAAGCATGATTAGAAGGCCACTGTAACAGTCTGGATATTAAAAGCATAATTTAATGTTGTAATCTTTAAAAATTTCCATATAATATGGCCCTGTATTAGTGAGTACATTCAGAACTAGAAACCTATTTCCTGACCATGCTGAATAAGAAAATATAGTGTAATGAATTCATGGCCCCGGGTTGCAAAGAAATAAAACAAACCTAACAGAACTTTGCTTGGCAATTAAAAACAAAACCAATAACACCATCATCTGTGGGATTCTGGATAAATTACCTAATTTTTTCATGGCTCTGCTTCCATTGCTATAAAATGAGGATATCTCTTGGGGTGCCTGGGTGGCTCAGTCGATTGAGTGTCTGACTTCGGCTCAGGTCATGATCTCACAGTTCGTGAGTTCGAGCTCCACGTCGGGCTCCGTGCTGACAGCTCGGAGCCTGGAGCCTGCTTCAGATTCTGTGTCTCCCTCTCTCTCTGCCCCTCCCTTGCTCATGATCTGTCTCTCTCTCTCTCAAAAATAAATAAACATTTAAAAAAATTTTTTAAATGAGGATATCTCACAGGGTTTTTAAATATTTTAATGTAGAATAAGGTATACAGAACTATAACTGACATAGTAAATTTTCAATTAAATGAAAGCTATTATATGGAAGTGGCGTTGTGCTGAGCCTTTCCTCCTCCAAATTTCTGACTTTTTATTCATATATAATTTTGGATGTGAGGAAGACTTTTTGTTTGCTTTGAGAAAAAGCAGTGAAAAGTATTCAGTGAATACTGAAGAGTATTATAAATTGATGTAAAGATCAAAAGGGCTGTCAATCTCTCAAGCATAGCTCTATTTTCTCCAGTAAAGTTAATCTTATTAAGGTCACCAGTCTTTTTGGTCATTATTTTACTATACTACATAGTATATTCAATACACAACTTTTTTTTGTCAGAGAAGTATCCATTGTAACCTCATCAACAAAGCACCATAAGCCATCTGTTGAGACACAAAGACAGCTTGATTACATAAAGACTTTTTCCTGAATTGGTATCTGTTGTAATAGGGTTTTATCTACACACACCAGTTATTGAGTTTTTTAAAGTACAAGAATTTTAGTGATTCAACACTTCCATACAACACTCAATGCTCATCACAAGCATACTTCTTAATCCCCAACACTATTTAACCACTAAATTGTACACATGAAATTAATATTACACTGCATAACAACTGGAATTTAAATAAAACCTTAAAAAATACAGAAATTTTGTAAACCATCAATAAAAATTTCTTTTTGAGAATCTCAAGAAAATAAAGAATATATGCACTACCTTTGTAGCAGGCACTTAGTCTCAGTAAAATCAAAATTTCCTGATGGGTTTCAGTCATCAGCAGTAGAAGCTTTGCAGCAGTACTTCTTATCACAGAGCTAGAAGTTGATAAAAGCTTGAAAACAACTTCATCTAAAATTGAATGTAGTGTTTTTCCTTCTATCCGGAGTAAATCACCCCTAATAGAACAAAATAAAAAGATAAAGAATGTACCATTACTAATGGATGTATAGGTATCATAAAAATTAAACATAAGTTTTAGCAACTTTATGCCTAACTGTGGCCAAATGCAAGAAAATAACCCAGTTTTTAAACATAGAGCTTAGTTCCACAAATGTATCACATTAAATCAATTATTATTTATTGAATTCCTACTGTGTGCAAGGCACCATGCTCGGTAAAACAGGGAATACAAAGCAGCTGAATGCCCTCTCTGAAAAACCTATAATCAAATTGCAGAGGAAAGATAAACGCGCAAAATATTACATAGATGATTTAAAAACTTACAAGCAACAATAAGAGGAAAATCACAAGACAGTACATGGTTCATTGCTTAACGATGTGAGAAAAATCCTATAGGAATTCAATTATCATGGACTTAATATAGGAGGAATTTATCTTTCCTTAGGTATTTCCTTCATTACATGAACAATTATCTTCTTGTACTACTTACGTGATGAAAACTTATCTGAAACTTGGAAACAGCCAAAAGAAATAACTGGGTATCTTTCACTCACCTGCCCCTACGGAGTATGTGATTTTCTAGGGGTGTGTACCTTTGCTTGACTATGTGTTTACTATTGATTAGGATATTTTGCAATTCTGTAAGCTAACCTTGATAAGCTAACCTTACAAAAAACGAGTAACAGTGATTCTTATCTGAGAGCAATGCAAACAGATTCTTAATCAACAATACAAATGGATTTGTCCAGTAGAAAAAGTAACTGTAATGGTTACTATCTACTGTTTTATAAGACATCAATTAGGTTTTTTAGCTATTAGCAAATTCATTTCTACATTCCTTTGACAAACCCCTCTTTAAATCTCCCTTCCTCAAGATTCCTCAAAAAATTAAAAATAGAACTACCCTACGACCAAGCAATTGAATTACTAGGTATTTATCCAAGGGGTACAGGTATGCTGTTTTGAAGGGACACGTGCACCCCAATGTTTATAGCAGCACTATCAACAATAGCCAAACTATGGAAAGAGCCCAAATGTCCATTGATGGATGGATGGATGGATAAAGAAGATGTGGTGTGTATACACACACACACACACACACACACACACACACACACACACACACAATGGAGTATTACTTGGCAATCAAAAAGAATGAAATCTTGTCATTTGCAGCTATGTGGATGGAACTAGAGGGTATTATGCTAAGCGAAATTAGAGAAAGACAAATATTATGACTTCACTCATATGAGGACTTTAAGACACAGAACAGATGAACATATGGGAAGGGAAGCAAAAATAATACAAAAACAGGGAGGGGGACAAAATAGAAGAGACTCTTATTAAATATGGAGAACAGAGGGTTGCTGGAGGGGTTGTAGGAGGGGGGATGGGCTAAATGGGTAAGGGGCATTAAGGAATCTACTCCTGAAATCATTGTTGCACTATACACTAACTTGGATATAAATTAAAAAAATAAAATAAAATAAAATAAATCTCCCTTCCTCAAATTCTCCTTTGAACCTATAAACATCTTACTGGTTCCTTCATTAATAAATAAGTTGAATAAAATTTTTTTGACACATTCGCCACCAATATAATGATAGGGAACATACCCATTGTGCCACAAAGTTTCCTTGTGTTTCATTGTCATACCCCAACTCCTTCATCTCCCTGTTAGCCTATCCCTTGACAACCACTAATCAACTTTCTGTCACTAAAATTAGTTTATGTTTTCTAGAATTTTATACAAATGGAATCATACAGTATGTCTTTTTTTGGCCCAGCTTCTTTCACTCAGCACAATTATTTTAATATTCATCTGTATTATCTCATGTATGAATAGTTCATTCTCTTTTTTTGCTGAGTAGTAGTCTCTTGTATGGATATACCTATAGTTAATTCACCTGTAATGGACATTTGCATTGTTTCTAGTCATTGGCTATTACAGATAAAACTGCTATTAACACTTGTGTACAAGTCTTTGTATGGACATATGCTTTCATTTTTCTCAGGCAAATACCTAGTAGTGGAATGGATGGAAAATATGGTAGGTACATGCTTATTAAGAAAATGACAAACTATTTTCTAAAGTAACTGTACTATTATATTACTCCCGCTAGCAGGGTTGATTCCTCCATATTTTTGTCAACATTTGAATCAGTAAGTGTTTTAAATTTTAGTCATTTAACAAGTGTAGAGTCGTATCTCTCTAATGACTAGTGTTGCTGAACATCTTTTCATGTGCTTATTTGCCACCCATGTTATCTGTTTGTTCTCTATTTTGAAGAGTGTCTTATGTTTTTGTCCCCCTCCCTGTTTTTATATTATTTTTGCTTCCCTTCCCTTATGTTCATCTGTTCTGTGTCTTAAAGTCCTCGTATGAGTGAAGTCATATTTGTCTGTCTCTGACTAATTTCGCTTAGCATAATACCCTCTAGTTCCATCCACATAGCTGCAAATGACAAGATTTCATTCTTTTTGATTGCCAAGTAATACTCCATTGTGTGTGTGTGTGTGTGTGTGTGTGTGTGTGTGTGTGTGTGTGTATACACAACACATCTTCTTTATCCATCCATCCATCCATCAATGGACATTTGGGCTCTTTCCATAGTTTGGCTATTGTTGATAGTGCTGCTATAAACATTGGGGTGCACGTGTCCCTTCAAAACAGCATACCTGTACCCCCTTGGATAAATACCTAGTAATGCAATTGCTGGGTCGTAGGGTAATTCTATTTTTAAATTTTTTAGGAATCTCCATCCTGTTTTCCAGAGTGCCTGCACCATTTTGCTCATTTTTCAAACTGGGCCTTTTTTAAATTTTGAGAGTTTGTATATATTCCAGATACAAATACTTAAGATACATGCTTTTCAAATATTTTTTGCCAGTCTGTTTTGTCTTTTTCATTTTCTTAAATAGTGTCTTCTGAAGAGCAGATTTTTAAAATTTTTGATGAAGTCTAAACTAATCAATTTCTTCTTTCATGGATTTTACTTTTGTTGTTATATCTAACAATTTAAGAAATTTTATGCAAACCAAGGTCATAATGGCTTTCTACTATTTTCTTCAAGAACTTTTGTAGTTTATATTTTGCATTTATGTCTATTATCCATTTTGAATTAATTTTTGTATTGGTTAAGAGGTATAGATCAAAATTCTTCTCTTTAAATATCAATAGCTAATTGTTCCATCACACTTTAAAAAACTATCCTTTTCACCTTAAATGGCCTTTACACCTGTTTTGAAAATCAATTGTTCATATATGTGTTAAGTCTATTTCTGGATTCTATTCTGTTACATAGATATATTTACATAGATATAGATATACATAGATATATTTGTATATATTTGCATTAGTACCTCATTGTTTTAATTATGTTAGCTTTATAAAGCCTTAAAATTGGGTAGTGTTAGCTCTCCAACTTTGTTCATTTTCAAAGTTGGTTAGGCTATTTTATATTTTAGGTTCTTTGGTTTTCATATGAATTGTAGAAATCAGTTTGTCAATTTCTACAAAAATTAGATTTTGAGTGGGATTGCATTTAAAGTCTTTTAAGTTAAATTCAATTAAATTTGGAGAGAATTTGAATCTTAATATTGTACCACTCATCTATTTACATAGCGTATCTTTCCATTTATTTCCATATTCCTTAATTCCTCTCAGCAGTGTTAAGTTTTAAGTCTTTCCCATTTCTTTTCAGATTTAACCCAACACATTTCATATTTCTATGCTATTTTAAGTTGCAATATCTTAAAATTTTAATTTCTGAGTATTAATTGAAGGATATAAAACTTCAATTTATATTTTTATACTGATTTTACATCCTACTACCCTTGCTACAATCACTAATTTTAGTGGCTTCTTTGTACAGTCTATTGATTTTTCTACATAGATGACAATGTCATTTCCAAATACAGAGAGCTTTGTTTCTTCCTGTCTGTACAAATAACTTTTCCTTTCCTTGCTTGACTGTAAAAGATAGAAACTCCCATACAATGTTGAAGAGAAGTGATTGGAGAGGAGATCCTTATCTTGTCCGTGATCATTTAGGGAAAGCATTTAGCATTTTACCATTAAGTATTTCCTAGATAACTTTCATCAGGCTCACAAAGTTCTATCTTCTACTAGTACCGTGTTGTTATTCTTTTTGAAAAATCAGGAACGGATAATGGATTTTTCAAATGTTTTTTCTGTATCTACTAATACTATGATATATTTTTCCTTTTTTGTTTTGTTAATAGGATGAATTATATTGCTTGACTTTAGAATATTACTCTAGCCATGAATTCCTGGGGTAAATCCAACTTATTCAAAATTTATTAACTTTTTAATATATTATTGGGTTTCAATATATTATAATGTCTTTTGTTTGGTATCAAGTAATTCTGATCCCATATTATGAGTTGGAAACTATTTCTCCTCTTCAATATTCTGGAAGAGTTTGTTCAGGATTATTTCATTAAATGTTTATGAGAATTACAGTGAAAAAGCTGTCCAATCCTGCAGTTTTCTTTGTGGGAAGTGTTTTAGCCACAAAATCAATTTCTTCATACTTATAGGGTATTCAGATTATCTATCACTTCTTTTTTTGTTGTTGTTGTTGCTTCTGGAGCAAGTTTTAATAGTATGTGTCTTTCAAAGAATTTGTCCATTTTACCTTAATAAGCATAAAGTTGTTCACATTATTTCCTTATAGTACTTTTAATGTCTATTGACTTTATTGTGTTGTCTCCTAATTCCTGATATTGGTAAGTCGTATTCTTTTTTTTCCCCGAACAGTCTTGTTTCAGACTTATCAATTTCATTGATCATCTCAAAGAACCAGCATATGGTTTCATTGATCTTCTACACTGTTGTTACTATTTTACTGATTTCTGCTTTGATCTTTATCATTTTTTTTACGATTATATTTTTTTAAGTAATCTCTACATACAACATGGGGCTTAAACTCACAACCCTGAGATCAAAAGTTGCATACTCCACCAAGCCAGC